GTGAATTAAATTGCCAGTTAACAGTGGCTGAACTACTGGATACTTGAGTTGCGTTGCACCACCAGAAACGGCCTATGCGGTGTGGTGTTGCGTACCGCCTGAGTGTGTGAACCTTAATGATCCCAGAGGGCCTACTGGGACATGAATTAAATTGCCAGTTAACAGTGGCTGAACTACTGGATACTTGCGCACAGTTGCACCACCAGAAACGGCCTATGCGGTGTGGTGTTGCGTACCGCCTGAGTGTGTGAACCTTAATGATCCCAGAGGGCCGATCCTACTGGGACATGTGCGTCTGCATACTTTTCAAGTCCATATGGTCGTGGCTGCACTGGGAAGATTGGACTACTTCCGAGTGGCCCCCTTGCTTCGCGGCATTGAGACGCGTCATGTTTCATGGATAATTATTACCCAATCTTCCCGAATCGAGTACCGAATTTTCCCATGATTTATGGCGGAAGTCACAGTTTTTCAAACTTACCCAGCAGTGGGTTTCACGTGTTTCCGGTTGACTGAAAACGGTTAAGTACCTTAACACGCCGTCTGTGATGTTCGGGTTTCACTGCCATACACCTGCTCGACATAAACATTCATGTCGTCTATGCGCCAGTGATGATTGTTCCTGGTGGGTTTCTGAAGTTGGCCAAATATTTTGTTGGTTTTCGTCAATTCTTATGTTCGGCTGACTACCAAGGGCCCAGGTCTGTGAACAGAGTACTGTTAATGTAGAATAAATCCTCATACCACAGCTTTTCTCAGTCATCCAAATGAATGCTCTGCATTTTATGTTGGACCCCGGTTACGGGCTGAAAAAAAGTTTAGTGTCCTAGAACCGCTGAACCAAAGGCCACAATTAGCCGCTCTAATTCAGAAAACGAAGATAAGTCGCAATCATCAACAATGGTTGGACTCACGCACCATTGTTTGTATCCAGTGGGGATCCCAATAAATCACTGCTTTCATAAATATGGAAGTGCTGATAACATTGAGTGAGCACCTTACCGTTCTCACTTTACTGCAAGACCACCGTGTGCTGCAAAACACGGGACTTTTTCAGGCTCTCCTGGCCCTCCCGGTATAGTTGAACCTTAAGAAACTGGAATCTAATCACTATAGCCCATGAGGTGCTTGGGGTTCATTTATGCCAAGAAGGCCACCGGCGGACAGTCTTGCAAGGCGTAAGGATCGCACTGCGAAGCGGTTAACAGGAGATTGGTCTTTTGCGTTCATTGAAGAGGATGATGCGTTTATCCAAGACGTTACAGCATCCATCTGATGCAATAGCCCTGGGGAATGTTTTCAGTGCAAAGGCAAAATTTTTGACTGCTTACTCGAATGAGGAGTGAGTGGTGGATTCAAAGAAACCGAGAGATCCATTTCCACGCAGCCTGACAGTGTCACGAAGCATCGGAGACCTGGGGGAAATACCTGGACCGTGTGCAAAGCAAGGTTCGCTAACACTTACATGCAATTACGTCCCAAATCATTTTAGGTCTTGAGGGGATGACTTTCTGTCAACTTCGTCCAACGATATATGTGAACCGCATATACGGATAACTTTTATTGCTGTTCTCGATGATGTTGATTCGTGTCTGTATGACCCTTGCAGCCGAGAATGTATGAATGTCCATAACCTAAACCCATTGCATTTTCAACGTTTTACCATTCTATGCGGCATTTCTAGCGAACGTTTTCACAACCACTTTTTATCGTCTTCTGTTTGTTTTCTCACAATTTCCATTGCAGATGCGAACAATTCGAAACAATAAATACCCAGTGACACCGGACATAGATCAAACTTCGGTCGTCGGTCTACGCAGTTCAAATATTTCGGATCACCCGGTTTGGTTGGAAGTTTTTACTCAAATGTGCCGACTACTGCTCCGTTTGTCCGACTTTCCGTTGCTAATATCCACTTCTTCCGAGTGCTCGCAGCATGTGCCATCTGGTTTTTGTGGACCAAGCGAATTGATGCAACTATTCTGTGGTGATCTGACCAGTTCCTCTCGAAATTCGAGTAAGTATTCAGGTGTGATGTTTGTGCGGTTGTTTTTCACGGCACTGATAAACGTCCAGTTAGCGTATCTACTCGCTTTGCTAGTGTAGTTACACTACACTACACCATTTTATTTATATTTATATTTGTAGCACCAATCGTCGATCATGATTATGATCGATTATGATTTGCAATACCTCGCTATCTGGTTCTTCATTCATCCGCAGTCTATTACACAAGCTTATCTTGCATTGTTCACAAGTCGTAAGGCTCTTTGTACACTACTGTCGCCTCTAATACTCAACCTGTTATACTACTCATGTGTTGCTAATGGCAGAAGGTTCGTTTGGGTCCGGCGGACATGCAGAAGTTGTTGGCACCAAGTTAAACCTGGGAAATTTCCGGATCCGGATGTGATTCATGTATGTATGGACAATCTCATTGCCAATATAGTGGTGCCCTGGCCTGACGGCTTCGAATCAAGCTAAAAGCAGTTCAAACCTGCGATGCTGTGTATCGTCACAATAAGCGCAGCCGATGGATAATTACCAATTCCCTCCACTTGCTCGACGTGCATCATACGGTAGCAACTGATGCCGTGCACAGCGTCGCGTGTTCGGTTTTCAGACAGGTATAATGGTAAAGCGCGAAGCGTGGTGGGGTATGTGCATCTGAGGTGGACGCTTCTGTTGTAGTTCTTTTAAAGTTTTCCAACCTTCCTTCAGCTTGCGTGTGCCCGTAAGCGACAAGGTACTAGTAAGACTGTTCACGAGCTGGGCGATGCAGTCATTCACAACCTTAGGAAACGGTTAGAGCACCGGAATGTATGTTGAATTGGTCACCGGCACCGTTATCACTTCAATACGACAAGCGCCGCACTGGTTTCTATGGGAAATAATCACGGACTCATTTTATTAAAAAGCGGTAGCGTATCGGATGTCGGAGAATTACCACCTACTCTTTGCAGAGGCGGATGCCTAGTATTTGTAAGAGAACTCACTTGTTTACCATCCAAGGCTTGACAGGATTACCTAGCCTTTTGTTGTGGCGGTCCACTCTTGATTTTCATGACGTGACCTTGGAATGCTCGTTTTATTTATAGAAGGACCAGTCTTATCCCCTTCGCACTAAAATTGCTAACTGCTCTACTTTTCTGAAAGTTGAGTCAGTACGTGAGCATCTCACACACAAAGAGCAAGCTGGCTTCCGAGTGAATTTTCACCCTACCCAGATTCAGTAGCACCGCTTTGTCTGCCGGCTGCCAATCGTTTTTACTTGACATATTTACAGCTTGTCGAGGGATGGAGTACTTGATAAATATTTTGCCATGCTACGGTAGCTAAATTCCAAGCTTGTGACGAAATGTCAACCGCTCTTTCTTTGTCCTGTCCAATGTTGCTTAAAGGCTACGACGATAATGATTGGACGGAAATGTGTTATTGCTGGGTTACTCCTGTCTAGGCATGGGCAACCAGGCAGTTTCTCGGTCCTCGCATGGTATGACAGCTAGACACCATAAGGTTGTTACAGCTGAACCTATTAGGCTGACGCGCCACGCGCTATTCAAATCTTCTCGGACCGACCGGAATAAACGGTGGGATTGGTTATTCGTGATGTCACAAAGGAACATGGAAAGGCACTCAAGTAGAAGTAGAGTCATCTAAGTTCGGTAATGGGTCCCGAATAGTCCCGAGGCTATGCGGTTAGACAAACCGTGAAATAAAGTACGGTGTCGAGACCGATGTATGTCCTTCGTCGTGCCGGGATTTGAATTATGGATATCTGAGATGTGGGACCAGCATTTCACCACTTTGTTGAACGCTGTATTGGTTAGTTAAGTAACTTCTTCATGAAGCGTATGTCCACATTATGATACTGTATTCAGAAACACCTACTTCTATAAGACCGAGACCATTGTTCTGTACGACGCGTTTTGAAAATCGAGTTCATACACTTCTAAATAACTTTATGATCCATTCTGCATTTTTCGTTTTTTGATTCTAGCGTAAAGTGTTGCATAGTGCGGTGATTTCACCGGACTTCCCATTTGACTGTTCTACTGCCTGTTGTTCTTTCTTTCCTCATTCATCCCCTGCATTCCACAGGCATTGAGGTGCATATTTTTCTGACTGAATACCATTTATCATTTGGCAATTTACAACGTCTCTCAGCTGCATTTCCACCTTGTTCGTGCAACTGCTACAAGCTGTCTAGCCTCATTTTTTAAATAATACCCACAAGTTGCTTGTTTGGTTTCAATCCCTGTTCATCTGTGAACGTAAGTTTCTTGGTGATAATACTCTCGATATTCCAGCAAAATTCCGTAAGACCACCCACCACATTGCTATCTAAACAAAACTTTTTGAGACTAATTGAAGACTTTCTCAGTTGTTTCTTTAAATTCCTGATATCCGCTCGACAGCGTGATGAATTAAAATTTTCCCGTTGTGGCCTGCCAGAGCCCTAGCTAATCGTTTAAACACTGGGACGATACACTTTCAGTTAGACAGCCTTGGAAGACTTGCGGCATGCCTTTTTACTTATCCCACTTAGCTCTGTAGATGCTTTATTAAACAAATCAAAAACAGCTCCGTTACGCCGGGTGGTGAATTTTTGCAGTATGAATGGCCATGGTATGGTTATGCTACTCAGGACAACTTGATTTTTTTCTAGCCTGTACATTTCGTCCTTAAATATCATTGTCTTTCTCTCTCTAGGATAGTCTTCCTTCTAAGACCATCTTTGGTGCGTTAGAGGAGTTTCGTACGAATGACGCTCCATCTGTCTTAAGTTTGTCGGATACTGTACAGTCGACCTACAAAGCAAAATGTCTGGAGTTTTACCCTGCCAGATGTCAGCGTTGTGATCCACTGGTTTATTTTTCCTTATGTGTTGTATTCGTCTATATCACCATCCTTATCGGAGTTGCTTGCCAACCTGTTAGCTCAATGGACTAAATGGTTATCATCCGTCCGGTCCGTTTGTCGAGGTGGTGCATTGAATGTATAAGTTAGTGCATAGATTCCAACTATGCGGCTCTTTGTTTCCGTTTCTGTCCCCGGTTTCTCGACCCATCCGCTCCTGCCATAATCCCAACCCTGTGCTTTCTGACGGGTCCCATGGTTTCGAAGCTGGAGGACATCATAAACGAGAGATTCAATTGAGTCTCCCGTGAAAACCAAATTGGTTTGCAAATGAATGTATTTCTCGAAGACTTTTCTCTCTTTTCTCCCAGATTCTCCTGTCACTCTTTCGCATTCATCGCTTGCATTCACTTTTTATGTTTGTGACCATGCTCTTCAAGAATAAATGATAGTTATGAAATGAATAAACCAATAGGTCAATAATTGAGTGAAATTGAGTAATTAAATACTTGAAAAATGAACAAAAAAAATAAGTAACTAAACGAATAGATTAATTAATAAGTGAAGAATGAATTGTCCCTCTGCATGTCCGCCAGACCAAGTAAGCAAAGGTATTGTTCGAACATCGATGGTTAGGTCAGGCACTGGGTGTTTAAGTTGATTGTCTGTGGAACAACATGTAGGGGTTCTTTGATTGTGACGCGTCTTCTAACTTCACTGACTCATGTCATTCGCCTCGGCACACTATCTACTGGCATCTGCGGCATTTGACCCTTGCCTGCTATAGTAACTTCATTGCTCCGCTCCGTTCGTTTTGCAAGTAGTCACTGTTTTATCTTTGAACCTCACTTCCAGGTGAAAACATTTTGCCTGAATGGCTCGCTTGTTTGCTTTACGCGTCAACGGAGGTGGAGAATTTCGACATGAAATCTATCGCTCTGTACACGTTGCTTGAATTACTATTCGCCTCTGCCTCCATTCACGGTTGGATGGAAGGAGGTGAAGTGGATCCCACAGGAGCTCCGAATTCACATCCTCTTCTAAACGCATACTCATTGAGTGACAAAGCAAATCAAACTCCCAAGATGCGTCTCATATTACCCGTTTTATCTGGTCGCCTGCTAACCTACGTGGTTCGTCACACCGACACTTTTCAGGTAGGCGAAACTACAGTGTATGCTTTTTTCCGTCTTGAAGCAAAGATAATTCATAGCATTGTGTATACCATCATTTTTCAATCACCCTTACAGTACAGCCCCATCAAGAGACTGCATTTGTGTTAGTATTCACTCTAGCTGGAGATGGTGGCACTCACGCACAAAGGCTGATAAGCTGCTCGGAAAATATTCGAAATGTTGGTTGGACCAAGTAGACCTAACTGAGACCATATTTTGATCCAAGACAATAGCTGGTTTCTGCACAGTTTCTGCAAAATTCCGTAAAATTTACATTACGGTATGTTTTGTTTAGTTCACTAAATTTTCTTGGCCATATGAACACCATAAACGGAACCTAGTAACGCGATCTTCACAATAGTCGCAGAAGACACCATATTTGGCTGTTCATTTAAAGCTGCTGTTGAATTTTAAGGCTTCGGAAAAACCACCATCAACCAATTGTGGGCTGGCATTCCGACAGTCCCTTCATCAGCATAAACCAAAGGTTAGTTGAAAAAAATTATAAACTCATTATGCAATTTAGTTCTATTACGCGTTTGTGTGCAGTCTGGGTTGAACTATCAATGAAACTCCGTGGTCTCATCGTCGTTTTTATCTACCTTTATCCGCCCGTAACCGAACGGGCTAGGTTAAGTTTGCTTAGTGCTGGCACATCTTTGAGTAGGTACCACTTGCGAACAAGTGAACCCGTTCGATATTTTCTGATTAACGTTCACCTAATGATACTCTGATAATATAATTCTGTATGATTCTCCATACATTTGTATCAATCAAGTCAATCGTGAAGAGGAGTTCGAACTGGAGCTGGTAGGGTAACTCATGACTGCGACTGAGAGTTCCTTTTCAATCTGTGCCATAACTCGTGTTCAACAGATCACCTAAACCGTTTTCTCCTGCTTATTCTTCACAGCATTTGGGTGTATCCCTTTGGCATTACCTGTCTCAATCTCACTCTGCTTATCACGAAGACGTGGCAAATCTCTTTTTGCGCCTTCACCAAATCGCACCTCCTACATCCAACGCAAGTTATGTCAATTCGGCTCCTGGATGTCCTATCGGAGGAATTTCCTCCAATGTGGAAGCTTTTATCCTTTCACAAATGTTGTCTACCGATTTGCACACGCAGGTAGATGCCCAGCAACGGTTTGCATTGCTCTGGCACCTCATGCGTCCGTCCCCAGGCTCTCCCTCGGTAACACGGACTGTTCCTGGTAGAGAATCCAAACTTGCTGCATTTTCCAGTTCTATTGCTGCTCCATGTTGGCGACTGCTGTATATGGGTTCGTATGAGTTCGCTACCGTCAGTGGGAGCCGCAAACGCCGCTCTTTCTCGCATCCCTTTATTCCATTTTATCGGTAAGCTGGGACTTCGCCTATGTATTACCACTGAAATTCCTGATGCGATAACTGCATCGGTAGTTGCTAAATTTACAACCGTGTAATGGACTCGTCATCCTACAAGTGTACCAACAATGTATAATCATCATCGGAGCTATCTACTTGGCTCGCCCCTTCACCCCAGGATATCCTGTCCTTAGAACTCCCTGATGTGTGCGTCTCCGGATTCGGTAAACGTCCAGCTCTTCAAATTCCCCTAACTGTGTATTTTACGTCTAAGAAACCAAACGCTGTAGGCTCTTTTTCATAAAGGAAACTACTCACAAGGTTGCCGAAAACTCTTCGACAGCCCACGACCGGTTTCGTCCTTCTTGGGATTCATCAGGCGCAGTCCCCGAGTTTCCGTCAACCTCATGTTCTACTTGAACCCAAATTGGACTGTTTTCGAGAAATACACTAATTTGCAAATCAGTTTGGTTTTCACGAGAGACCCAACTGAATCTCTCGTTTATGATATTCTACAACTGAATGTGCTGCACACAGGCAGCCTCATGATTCAGTTGGCACGATATTCGAGATATTGCAGTATATTTTCATAAAAGAAACTATTCACAAGATTGCTGAAAACTCTTCGACAGCCCACGACTGGTTTCGCCCTTCTTGGGGCTCATAATGTAGGCCCTGTAGGCTCTTGTTTTCATTTCCCATCTGGTACCAGTCGAGTTCACAACGCCCCTGTTAAGCAAATCTTGGTTTTGAAACCTCCTTGAGTTTTGCCATGTACGCATTGCTGATGATTCCCATTTAGGGTGATGCAGCTTTGTAGTGCTCCTCGGCTTTTCAGCATAGTTTGGCTTACAGGACGAAATCTCAATTGAAAGTTCCCAAATCTCACACCGGCATTCTTACATCTTAGGGAGTTGTAGCTAGTGATGTTATTCTCCTTGTTTTTAACTCAGTGCGTGTTGAAGTGCTACGCTTGCACTTTACTTCTTCCTAATCCCTTGATTAATGTTTTCGTTTCTCAGCTGTGTGCTTCTACTGCTGGACCATTTGGATATCGACATTCCATGGGGACCTATGGGGCCTGTAGGTACAGTTGGGTTCAATTCCGCTCTTTCATATTTACCTAATGGCTATGTGAACTCAGACTCCACCGCCGGTAATATTTCCGAAGCTGGGAGTGCAGGTCTGGTTCGTTCCGTTTTGCGGGACCAAGCGGTTCACTGGGCTGTCCGCGCTCTACGTACGGGCCAAGTTGATCGGCTAATGGCGCCCATTCTGGCTGCTCTGTTACATCCAGCTACGGTCCGCATCAGTTTGAAAGCACGTGTTATTCTTGATAATCAATACCTTCTCAATGGCAAAAAGAACGGTATGTGGCGGTCAAAATCCACTCAACATGAATCGACCGAAGGTAAGACTTCCTTCATTAGAGTTAGGTTGATAAATGACATAATGGTAATTATAAAACCATACTATTTGTCGAGCATTTTCAAACGTTCTTGTCTATCTGGATCATATTATAAATCAAAATGAAAATCATATTAAAATCGACTGTGACATCCTTCCTGTGTGTGGCTATCACGCAGCCTGAAAGAAGCATAAGGGTCGGATTACTGCCAGGTTGCTCAATCCCAGGCATAAGATGTGGGAAAAATAAGAATTACAAACTGGGGACAACAACTCTCAGCCCAAAGAATGAACAGTCGTACTTTAACTGAAATTCACCCTTCTCAATACTTTAGGACGGTGGGCTTCACCGTTTCCAAATTATTCTCTTTTAAATGCTGCGTTACTCGAGGCCATACACTACAAAGTCATATAAGCATTCGAATCACTGTCGCTACTGATCTTCATCTTAGTGCTTACTAGTAAGATACTTCGTAGCACGACGGTGATCCATAACATAGAGTGTGAACCTTTTCCAACCTCCGCTGTTCATCCCGTTTAATTTTCAGCTTTAGATTTTGCCCTTGCTGCAGACGAAGAAAGCGCCAGCTCAAAAGAATCTACCGTTAATCACCAACTTCAGGTTTCCGAGGTAACTGGTCCAGGCAATGTACTGTTTTGTGCTATACAGTATTACAGTGTGTTGCTACCATATACAACTGCTATATACTGCATTATACTTCAGTATGTACTACTGTTACCATAATTCTACTGTGCTATTATCGTCCAGAAGGATATACAGAATATTAGATAAAAGGAGGGAAGCGTGCCATCAATAGTTTCCAGCCTGACGAAATGATTTCCAACGTATGTAGGAATGCTTATTGTGGAAGCACACGTCTAAAGACCACCAACTAAGGAAAGGACAAACTGCTCATTGCTTTTCAAAGCGCAACGAGCGCTAGCAAGTCAGGACGTCGGGCACAAGATGTCCGTTATACAGGGTCAAGTGTTAGAATCAGTGCACCGGTTCACTTGCAGTTACCGGTTTAATAGTTGTATAATTTAATTTGGGAAGGCGGGAAGTTTTCGTACAGGATCGACTCACTTTAGCTAATACATAAGTGATGTGTTTTCAATGTCAATGTCTCATGACATTTAGCTATTATCACCTCCTACTTACAGCAGGATGTATTTGGTCCGACTTATCGCACGATGGATATGCTTTCGGTGCTACAAACAAAATTGCGTTCTATCAACTCCGGGAGCGCCAAACAAAAAACAGGATTTGACACTGCTGAACACCAAGCCACCGCACAAACTTACGTCACTGGTATGTGTTTATTTTGGTTCTCTCGCATATATATATATATATATATATATATATATATATATATATAAAGACA